CTTCTCCTCCTTCCCCTTGCCCTCCTTCCTCCTGTTCCTCTCTCCTCCCCGCAGTCTTCATCTACTCCTCCTTGCGTGACACTACCATGTGCTCTTGCTTATACTCCCCATCCTCCTCCACCTCCTCCTCCTCCTCCTCCTGCTGCTGCTGCTGCTCCTTCTCCTTCTCCTCCTCCTCCTCCTCCTCCTCCTCCTCCTCTTCTTCTTCCCCTCCTGCCTTTCCTGCCTTTCCTGCCTTTCCTGCCCCTCCTGCCCCTCCTGCCCCTCATCCTCCTCAGCTTGTCCTGCGCATTCCCCTCCTCCTTCCCTCCTGCCTAGGAGGAAGGAAGAAAATGAGGTGGACAAGGGCCGTCATCCTCATCCCTGTCCTCGTGCTTGTCCACAACCGTACTCTTATCCTCCTCTTCGTCCTCCCTCCCTTTCCCTCTTCCTCCCCCTCTTGCTCTTTGTTGCTTTGGTTGTCTCTACCTGAAAACAAAGCGGGGTTGTTAAAGGTGTTGCATGAAGGGCGATTTTAAGGCGACTTATATATAGTTAGCCATACCTCTGAAGCATGCACGACAGAGGGCATGCCGGTTGCAGGCCATGACGATTGTGGGGCGTTCAGCATCACAGTTAAGTGCACATTCGCTATAGCACCCGCAGGCACAGATGGGATATATTGCATCTGGATGTAGAGGATGTTCACAATACGGATACAGGTGGAATCCCTGCCGACAGCGGGCCCAAAAAATTATACGGTTGTAGTGATGACACAAACTTATGTTATTCTTTTACTGCATTCTTCACAATTTTGCAGTTTTAGTGAAGGGTTCCCCACCTTTGCACATTCTTGTACACTCTTTTCAGCGCACCTGCACATTTTTGTCAGGGTGCAAGGCACGTCTAAGTAAGACCCTCACGACAAATAGGACAACTGTGATAAGGATGCGGGCGATGGTAGCAGCCCTCCCGCTGATCTACATGATCTTCAATTGATGTCTTTCATTGATGTATAGATTGCGTATTGTCAATCTGCGTTCTGCATTCTTCCCCCTGTTCTCTCATTGCTTCCTGAATGTTATTATTTTCTTTATGCTTGAACAATACTAGCCCTGTTAGGTGTTTGATCTGGTACGTTGCTTGGTGATACGGTTTTGTTATTGTATAAGGTATTGTGCACGTAAGGACTATGGTGGCGGTCACCGCAAGGACACAGGTTGTAACCCTTTTCCCTTGTAGTGGGTATAGTTACGACCCACCTAAGGTTAGCCAAACCCGGGTGGCAGCCCCCATGCCCATCTCACCTCTTCGTATCGCACTCTTTCGTGTAATCCTCACACATTAATAAAGCCTACAGGTTGGCTTGCTTTTGCTGAACTGACACTGTTGGTCTGTCGGTGCAAGGCTGTGAGCACTAGGATCACATTGGATCACACTAGGTCACGACACACTCACCGGGGGATGCAGAGTCATACATGAACCAACATTCTGTTGACTCACTGCTAATGGTGAATACCATACGAACAGAACGGTGGCAGGATCAGTTCCCGAACTGGACGTCGGGCCTAAAACCCTGCCTTTCTGTGCACCTCTTCGTCTCTTTTCTTACCAAAAAACGAAAAATTTCAAAAAAATAAACGTTACTTTTAAACAAATGAATTGAACACAAAGAATTAATCAGGGGATTCTCTGGAAGTTCCCTACTACTGGCATGGTAGGTGTAGTTCCAGGCACCATAGGTCAGGGAATCCTTGGTAGATTTCCTGTTGACACTACATTAGACACGGTGGATCAAGGAATTCTTGGGAGATTTCCTGTCGACACTACTTTAGGTATAGTTTCTCATAATAATCATCGACTCTTCTCTGCTTTTTCCTCCCAACCTCATCTACACGCTGATTCCACACGTCGCGTTGATTGGATTCGGCACCTTCGCTGGAATATGGACCTCTACTCTGTAGGCACTTGGCGCAAGAGGCAGTTGCAACAACTTAACACGACGATTCAAACAAAGAGTTTCGAATTGCAGCTGAGAGGCATTGATCAGCAGGCACTGCAATCAGGTATGAACCCTCTCTTTGTCCGGGGAGTGATCTATGCCATTGTTCATATCCCCTCTAGGCATCTTTACATAGGTTAGACTATGCACTCCTTGCATCAATGTTTGCAAGCACATTGGCATGTTCGTCGTTCTGCTGCAGAGTTTCGGCGTCGCCGGCTCTACAGTGTCATGTCTTGTCAAAACCCCTTCAATTTTGCAGTCTGGCCCTTGGAACGTATTGACCCGGCCCTTTGCCATACACCGCAAGGTCTTGTTGACAGTAACCTTTTTCGACGGGCTGCTATGACACGGGAAGCCTATGGGGTACGCCGGTTGCAGACTCTTCATCCATCTGGTCTCAACGCTGTCCTGCTGCTTGCTCGCCTGCCTGCAAGAAGACGACAACGTTGTCCTCATCGGTGGACACAGACAGGCCCTCGTCCGTCAGACCATCAACAGCCCCAACCTATTGATTTGCGTCCAGGCCCCGACTTTCAAGTCCGGTCTGCATTGCACAATCTTCTCTCATAGGCTGCTGCTGGCAATTCGCAATAGATGGAATTTGTCATCCAGCAAGTAACGTCAGTTTGGCGTGCCCGCTTGCTGCAGTGGTTGAGCAATAATATCTCCAATGCAGATATGACTGCGCATATCCGTCAACTTGAATGCCTGATTCAGAAGTATCAACATGTCCGCCAG